GTTTTTCGTCGGTAAAGTGTTATCAACCAAGGCTGAAAGTTTGATCATTTTGGAAATCAGGCAAAACCTCATCCAATAATTGCTGAAATTTTCTCTCCAAACCAGGTAACGCGGCAGATCCCGTTGTTGACTCAAGTGGAAATCGCTTTTCTTTTTTAAAGAACTGATTGTGAAGAAACAATGGCCCTGCAGCCGTTTACAAGGGAGCAATTAAACTATTTCAAGCTCGCTTTTGTTGTTCTCAATGAGTACCCAAAGGCCCTACGCCAGACCTTCAGATATATGTGGGATAACTTCTTTGGAAGTCGCCATGGTCATAAAATGTGGGATGACTCCCTTGCCGTAAGGAATGTGTTCCTTGTTTTAGAGGGTAGAAAAACAAGAGTTCCCACACACCTTTCTTACGATGAATGGGATTGCACTGCCCTGTTCCAAGCCACAATCTACTCACAGGCTTTCGCTTTACCACACAGCAAAGGCGGTCACACAGTACTTAGCGACTCGTTCATAAAGCACATCGGACTGCCATGTGGAAGCTTCCATGCCTCTGTGGTGAGCCTTACCGGAGACAAGGTTGAAACATTTGCACTTGCCATTGACCAGCTCAGACTTCTAAGAAATTCTCTATTACACTCAGCCACTCCAGAGATTGACAAAGTAACATTTGATCAGCATGTTCAACTCTCTAAAGACGCGTTTAAAGCTCTGGGATTGAAGACTGACCCCATAGATGCAATTGGAAGTTTGAACGATTCTGACTTTCCTACTGAAATGGTTCACAAGCTGGAGAGAGAAATTAGGAAGGAGTTACAAGCAGACAAGACTTTTCTTCAAAAAGACGTAAAGGAAGAACTGTGCTATGTGAAAGATGAGGTGCAGTGCATACGGTCCGATATCGCTCAGTTACAAAAAACCGAAGATGAGAGGGAAAAAGCGACAACTACTACAAACCAAGAGGTGAAAGAGAGCATAGCTGAGCTGAAGGAGAAAGTCGAGGACATGATCAAGAGCCAGAGACCAGGTAATATTTTTAGCATCCTCTCCTTTAGAACACTTCTCGATTCCTCAAGGTACTGCGTGTAGTCAAATCCTTGGATCGTGAGGTATGCTTTATTAATAACCATGCCCCGGATTCATGATCCAAGCAAAGTTTTTTAACTACACCTTCTTTACACATTCTCCCTGGGTCAATAATGGAGAATTTGCTATAAAGAAGAACTATGATAACCACGAAACAACTTTTGCCCGTTAAGTAACTATTTGCTTTGTTTTAACGTCATTGCTATGTTTGAAAATAATCAGCACTCAATCAAATAGATCCGTCAGGAACAATTGAGTTTGATGTGTGAAGTGTACCTTCATTTAATGAACCCGGTTTAGGGCATAGGCTACTCTGAACCAACACCCTACAATTGAGAGTTAGGAAGACTAAGGGAAGCATAATTATTATGAGTCGCCCGCAAAAGGCCGTTCCCCGTTTTCTTTTCTCTTTTGTCAAGATTTCGACTTTTTCCAACTGAAAACCAGAAAAGAACGATATTACTTCTTAGGATACTCAACTACAAATTCTGCTATTCTTTTGAAAGGTACGAAACTATCACTCAAACGATCATCTCTTCCTCCAATCGTTCCACATTTTACTGGCCGCAAAAGAGAATGCGATGAGATCACTTGCCAAGTAACTTCGGAATCGACAAGACTCGTTTCAATCTGGGGCTCGCCAGGATTCGGAAAAACTTCGGTTGCAATCGCAGTTGGGCATCAGCTCCAGTCTTCAGGATTGCCAGTCCACTTCCTCTCATTACGAGGACTCAAGTCCAAAGCAGATCTAACATCAAAGTTTCTTGGCCTCCTAAGACAGGGTCCGTCTCTTCCAAATGATCAAACAGCTCAGCAACTATCGCTCAATGATGAATTATGCCAAACGTTTAGTAAGATATCGGATAGTCTTGTCTGCATACTGGACAATGCCGATGATTTGCTGGAGACCGGTGACCCGAACGTGAAGGATGAGGTCATTGATCTACTGGAAGAAATTATGAGAAGCAATGAAAAGGTGAAATTCCTTTTAACTTCCAGAGAATCTTTGCAGTTCATAGACGTACGTTTCCCAGGCCACCAGGGATCGAGAATAGGACACCTTGATGACATCTTCTCCCAGGAGCTTGTTTACAAACTGCTTCCCATGGCAAGTGCCTCTGACTGCAAAAAAATGGCCCAAGTTTGTGGACATGTACCTTTGGCAATAAAGCTACTGTGTTCCTCTGTTTCGGAAGATGACCCCGTTGAACTGAGTCAGTATTTAGAGAACTACTTGAAGGCCTCAACCGACATCATTCAGATGTTGGACAATCCGGATTATCCAAGCAATTTGAGATTGCAAGTTCTTTTTGGAACTTCTTTTCAGAGACTCTCAGAGGAAGAAAAACGAGCGCTGGTGTCACTAGCTATTCTTCCTGACAATTTTCATTTAGACATCGCTGCCGCTGTTTTGGGTTTGGCAAACACTGCTAGAGCAAACAAGATATTGCAAAGGCTCCGGAGGAAATCCCTTCTCAGTTCCGGCGCTACGCATGGTCTGTTCTCGATACACAAGCTCATCCAATCATTTTCCAGAGAGAAGGGAGAACAAGAGATGCCGGAAACTGTTTTCTGTGCCAAATCCCGTTTTCGTGCTTATTACGTTACACTCTTCAAAACTCTCAATGAGAAGTTTCTCAGTGGACATTCTATGCCCGCTTTTATTGAATTCTACGAAGAGAAGCAGAGTATCACTGAAAGTCTCATTGAAAGCTGTTCTGATCCCAAAGTTGCTGATGATGTTTTTGACGTCCTGGCGACAGCAGAGCAGTTTTTAGACATGCTTTTGTGGAGAGATGTCACCTCCTTTGTTAAAATTTATGATTCAGCACTTGAAGAGTCCCACAAGCAGGGGAAAAACATCTCCTACAGAAAATTACTTGTTTCCAAAGCTTTCGGTCAGATAACATGGGGTAAAACTGGAAAAACGAGTCAACTTCTTAACAAAGCTAAGGAATGCCAAGCCTTATCTTCCTCAGTCCCTAATGAAGAACAGGGGAAACTCCTGTGCTATTTAGGCATGCATTGTCTTGTTACAAATGAATCGGAAGAAGGCGTTAAATGTTTCCATGAAGCCCTTTCTATGATGAGCAACATCCCTGCTCTGGTGATTCTCAAACTTATCACTTACCAAATCCTGGCTGTCTACTACAAATGCAGAAATAACCCGGCAAGTGCAAGTTACTACCAAACGAAGGCACTTCAAGAATGCGAGTGTACAGACAACCAACACCTCGTAATTCCTCCTTCAACGAGGGAGCCAAAAGCTCGAGGAGAAGAGACACCATCCAAAGATCAGGCGAATGCACCACTCTTAATGCAAGTGTTGTATCATGTAAGCCAAGCAACAGAGAATTTCTCTGACATTGACACCCAGCAAGGTTTTGGCAACGTTGCACTCAAAATACTAGACAACGGTGCTGCATCTTGCAAACCGTCACTTGGTTTATTCAAATTTCACCGCATAGTTGCTGTGATGCTACAAGAGCAACGAAAATACGAAGCAGCTGTCAAGTTTGCAGAGTCTGCCATAACATCTCATCGAACTGCCCTCCAGCAATTTAAAAGCAACGAGAGCAGTTTGTCAAAAGAAGGCAACGAGGTACACTCTGTAACAAGTTCGCAAATTCACGAGGAGGCATTGGTAGGGCTCTACCAGGATCTTGGACAGATCCATTACAGCAAAGGCAACTATTCAGCGGCTCTTCAGTCCCAGCAGCTTGCACTTGACCTTGCACTTGCTGTATTCGGCGAGGAGCATCCAGCAACAGCAGTTTGTTATTACCTAGTGGGATGGGCACATTATCAGTTAGAAGATTACGTGTCAGCGCTGCCATATAATCAGCTTGCGCTAAAGATCAGACGTAAACTTTTTGGTGAAGATCATTCCCTGACGGCGTACAGTTACCGATCAGTAGGATACACACAACACGAGCTAGGAGATTACAAATCAGCTCTGAAGTCTAAAAAGCGCGAACTTGACATTCGACTGAAACTGTTTGGCGAGGAAGATCCACGGACAGCTGACAGCTACCGTTCCCTGGGACAGACATATAACGAAATAGGAGACTACAATTCAGCTCTTCCGTTGAAACAGCATGAAGTTGCCATCAGACTAAAAGTTTTTGGTGAGGAACATCCAAAAACAGCTGACAGCTTCCGTTCATTAGGCTACACTCAACATCAGCTGGGAGACTTCAATTCAGCTCTTCAGTCTAAACAACAAGAACTTGACATCAGACTGCGACTGTTTGGGGAGGAACATTTAAAGACAGCGGACAGCCACCACTCAATGGGAGAAACACAACATCAACTTGGAGACTACCAGTCTGCTCGTCTGTCTTTCCAACATGCGCTTGATATCAGACTAAAGCTATTGGGTGAGGATCATGCAGACACAGCTGAAAGCTATCATGAACTAGGCGTCACACAGCATCAACTGGGAAACTACACATCGGCTCTTCAGTCAAAGCAGCATGCTGTTGATGTTAGACTAAAATTATTCGGCGAGGAACATTTACAGACAGCTGCCAGTTGGCATGAGCTTGGAATCACTCAACACGAACAAGGAGACTATGTCTCTGCTCATCGGTCTTTGCAGCATGCACTTGATAGCAG